AAAAGAAAGAAAGCCAAAGAAGAAAAAGAAAAAAAGAGAGAGAAAACCACAACAAAAGAAACAAAAAGGGAAACAAAGGTGAGAGCAGGAATAAAGGAAAAGTCGCAGTCGGAAATAAGGAAAGCCAGGATGATGCAAGCAGTCGAGCAAATGCATAATAGAAACCGTTAACTGTTTAGGTGCATTCATTCCAAAATGTGCGGTTATCTATTTGTTAATGCTCTAACCACTAACAAAGTTGTTGTTGTTGATGAGTCCAGGCAGGTGGTTAAGTTGACTGGCATTCTGGCTACCCATCCATACAACACCCGCTCCAAGGATACATCAAAAATGGTCAACTCAGAGCTAGAAGCAAGCATTGTTGATCCGTCTAGGGAAGAAGAGGTAGTAGATGTTAATGCTATGAAAGAGGAGATGTATAAGTTGAAGCAACAGATGGCCGAGATGTACCAGGCCTGGTCGAAGGGACACCCATTACCAGCCTATTCTGCTAACCCTACCTACATCCCGCCACTAGCTCAACCACAAGATCCTCCCACAGTGAACTCCTCTCCGACCTTTCCCACTTACCAGCAGTACTACGCAACCACTTCCCAAACACCACCACCTCCACCACCAAAACAAATCCCATGTCCTCCACCGCCAATTACTCCTGTGTTTGTGGCCCCTCTACCCGCCACATTACACAGATCCTCCAGCGAACCCCTATTCCAAACTCAGGAAAATCACTATTACCCACCTGAACCCACCTTCAAACCACCAGAACCATGCTCTTATGCTCCCCGTATTGATTTCTCAGCTGAAGAAGAAAAGCCTCCCAAAAACCTGGAGCAGGAGGAAATGATAAGAAAGGTCAAGAGCCTAGAACAGTCATTCAGAAACATGCAAGGGCTCGGAGGTCAAATGAGCGTAGCTTACAAGGATCTGTGCTTGTTTCCGGATGTCCAGCTGCCGGCCAGATTCAAATTACCAAAGTTTGATTTGTATGATGGACATGGTGATCTTGTAGCCCGTCTGAGGGGATTTTGCAGTAAGATGAGAGGAGCTGGAGGAAGGGATGAGTTATTGATGGCGTACTTTAGCCAAAGTCTTAGCGGAGCTGCCCTGGAATGGTATACGCGGCAAAATCAGGCTCGATGGTACACTTGGGATGATTTGGCCCAAGCGTTTGCGTGCCACTTTTGAGTATAATTTAGAAATCGTCCCGGACCGTCTATCGCTGACTAAAATTGAGAAGAATCCAGGGGAAAGTTTTCGGTAGTACGGTTTCTGGTGGAGAGAACAAGCAGCAAGAGTCGATCCTCCCATGAGGGAGAGCGAGATGGTCGATTATTTCCTACAGGCTTTGGATCCTACCTACTATAGTCATCTGGTGTCGGCAGTCGGCAAGTCTTTCAATGAGGTTGTGAAAATGGGCAGCATGGTTGAAGAGGGGCTTAAGTCTAATAAAATTATGAGTTATTCGGCTATCAAGGCAACCACCCAGGCTATCCAAAATGGCACTGGAGGAGTATTAGGGAAGAAAAAGAAAGAAGATGTTGCAGTAGTGGAATCGAGAGCTTGGTCCAGGGGCCCATCTCCATATTACCATCAACCTCGACCCCATCCCCAAACCTACCCACACACCCCATATGGCCCTCCACAACATTACTACCCACCTCCCGTCCCACACTTCTCTGTGCACCATGCCCAAACATACCCCCAACCTCCTCCCCAGTGGCGCGCACCTACACCACAAAGCGCTTACCATACTCAAAGCACCTACCCACCCCCGAGAGCCTACAGAAATCCCACTGGAACCGATTTTCGACCCGACCCCACAGCTAAGAATGATAGGTTGCTGAAAAGGAAGTCTTTCACTCCGTTGGGCGAATCTTACACTAGCTTGTACCACAGATTGAGACAGTTGGGCATGTTGAGTCCAATTGAACCTAAATTGCCAAACCCTCCCCCAAGGAACCTGGACCATTCGGTGAGTTGTGAGTACTGCTCGGGTGCTCCGGGACATGATACAGAAAAATGTTGGCATTTGAAAACGGCCATCCAGGAACTCATTGATACTCGCCGGATTGAAGTGCAGGCCCTAGAGACGCCTAACATCACTCAAAATCCATTGCCCGCCCATCATGAAACCCATATGATTGAGCACGTACAGAAGGGAGAATACAAGAAGCCTTCGCAGACCATAATGATGATCAGGGCCAGTGAAAACATATCAGATGAGAAACCAACCAGTGGGAGGGCAGTGACCAAAGTGGAGAAGACAGTTAGCAAGCCAGTTGTGGTGATAAAGAAGGAGCCTTTGAGGGGTGTGGCAGCTAAAGTGGTGGTGCTAGGGGTAGCTGTCAAACCCATTGTGACTGTGAAAGGGGCTCGTACAGAGCCGGTTATCATCAAGCCGGTGACGCAGTTGCCAGTAATCAATGAAAAGGCTGTCCCATGGAATTACGGCCGAGTAATAGTGATGTATAAGGGAAAAGAAGTTAAAGAAGAAGTTTGTGAAACACACGGATTGACTCGTTCAGGGAGATGTTTTGCCCCTTAAGAGTTGAGAAAAGCTAAGACAACCAAAGATAATCCAGTACCAGTGAAAAGGGCCGTAACTGAAGAAGAAGCAGAGGAATTTCTAAAGAAGATGAAGGCGCAGGATTATTCCATTATAGAACAGTTGAGAAAGACGCCGACACAGATTTCATTGTTGTCATTGTTGATCCACTCGGATGAGCATCGCCAAGCATTGATGAAAATTCTGAGTGAAGCCCATGTTCCTGAAAAGATTTCTGTGAATCATCTGGAGAAAATAGCGAATAATATTTTCGAGGTCAACAGGGTCACATTTTCTGACGATGAGTTGCCTTTGGAAGGCACCGAGCATAATAAAGCACTCTACCTCTCGGTGAAATGTGAAGACTCTGTGGTCACCCAGGTGCTGATTGACAACGGGTCCAGTGCAAACATCTGTCCTCTTTCCACTCTGGAAAAGTTAAAGGTGGAAAGTGAGAGAATCCATAAGAATAGCATCTGTGTGCGGGGATTTGATGGAGGAGGAAAGGATACAGTTGGAGATATAGTGTTGGAATTGACGATAGGACCGGTGGAATTTACTATGGAGTTCCAGGTGCTCGATGTGGCTGTTTCTTACAATCTCCTGTTAGGCCGACCCTAGATCCATGCAGCAAAAGTGGTGCCATCCACTTTGCACCATATGGTCAAATTCGAGTGGGACCGGCAAGAAATTGTGGTGCATGGGGAGGACATTTCGTGTAATGCCATTATGCCTTTCACAGAAGTTGAGGATAACAAAGGTCCATGGGTGT